AATGCTGCCTCCTTGCCTTCAGTGGTGCCAGAGCCTGAATGAGCAAAGGAATATTCCTGAACCTCCACTCTATGCTTGGAGTAATTCTACTTGATGCTCATGGCAACACAGTGAATTAAGTGTTATTAATTCTCTTTTTGTAGATGAGGAAATAGGCCAGGGAGCTGTTAGTAGGATTGAAGCCAGGTCTTCTTAACTCCAAGGTTCAAATTCTTTCCGATATCCTGTCTGTAGCTCAGCAACAGACTTTTAAGCAGCTCAAACCAGCAGAACAAACTGGTTTATGAGCCCAACCAAGAATGGGGCTGAGATGAGAGCAGCTCTGGGTGCATCAGTCTCTCTCACCCCTCAGTCCCTGACTCCCTGCTGTGGCTGAACACAGATTCGGGGTGTGTGTGTGTGTGTCAGGACATACCCACTGGGCACAAGTGAGTGGGAAAAGGAGACTCTTAGAGCTGCATTAAGTTTCATGCCACTGAACCAGTCTGGGCACTTAATGGGGTTCTCAATCCAGCCTTGGGGTTACTAGCAGCGGCTCTGGTTTCAGCATGAAGACCTCAGTTCATAAATTTCCTTGGAATTAAGACCCTGAGAATGAACACACTCTTAAAGTCGGTCCCAGAAAAAGCAGGGAAGTCTGAGCTGTCACCGAGGCCTTTTCATAGCCCGATAAGGAGAGGCTTGAGACAGGCAGGGCCTGTGGTTGGCCCTCGTGCTGAGCGCCAGTGCGGAGTCCCTGCAGACTGCATTCCAGGGCCTCAAGTGTCACCTCCAGCGCCACTGGTGTTTACCCTTCGCACACTCCACTCTCCTGCCTTCCACCTGGTGGAGGTAGGAGACGAAACCAAGGCCACTTCAAGATGAAGCCTTGAGGCTCTTGGGGGGCTAGGCAGGCCCTTTGGGACACTCCACAGAAGCCGCGGGCATATGCCAAAAGGTCTACATTCTAGCCAAGTATTTGTTTCCCTGGGGCTACTATAACAGAGCCTCACAAATGGGGGGCTTCGGACAGCAGACCGGCATTTTTTTTTCAGTTCTGGAGGCTGCAAATCCCAAATCTAGGCTCTGGCAGGGTTGCTTCCAGGGAGCACTGTCCCAGCCTTGGTCCTAGCTGCTGCTGCGCTCCTTCGTGCTCCCTGGTGAGACTCAGCGCCCTCCTGCTTCTATGAGTCCCAGCACATCTCTTAATCTGACCGCATCTCCTTGCCCAACTTTGTCTCCCACCAACTCTGTGCTCACAATTTATCAACCAGCAGGCCTGGTACACATCTCTGTGCCTTTGCGACTTCTGCCCTCCCTGCCTCCCCCACCACCTCCGGCTGCCTGCATGCCCTGTTCCCCTCCCTCTCCCTCTGAAAAACTCCTACTTGTCCTTGAAGCTCCCGGGCCTACCCCCCCCCCCAACCCCTGGGGGACTCTGTGCCCAGCTGTGGTCCTGGGGGCACAGGGCATTCTATCCGTCTCCCCATAGGAAGGAGCTCCTCAGAGCTTTCTTTCAGGTCCCCAGCACAGTTGCATAGATGATGATTCACAGCTGCCCCCAAATGACTGAATCAACATGGGAGTTCCCTTCAGGGGCCAGAGACCCAGTAGTGTCTTTCTCACATGTCTGTTATATTCCCTACAAAGGGCGGTGCCTTGGGGGGTCCTCAAAGGCTTCCTGCTTAGCTTAGCAACTGAGTAGAAAAATCTCGCTCAGTAGGAACCTGGCTGGCGGGAGCAAGCAGTCCCACTAGTGTAGTGAGAGAAAATCCCCTGTGCTTTTTCTCCCACCACCCAGGTGCTTCCTAAGTGAGACTCGAGGTCAGGGAGGAAGACAGGTGGCACTTTCCATTTTGCTAGAGAAAAGTTGAAGGGAGAGAAAGGGGGATCCCCTGGCCTGAGGTTCTACAACACTGAATTCCAAGGTAGCCCTGCTAAGGGGGTCATTGGGAGGACCCTCAAACTCCTGGTTCACTCCTGAAATCAAGAGTGGAGGTCACAGCCCTGGGGGTGGATGAGGGGCTGGTAAGGTAGAGGGGACTGGGTTCTGGTTGGCCTGGTGGTGGAACAGAGGTCCCCCCTGGAGTCCCAGCAGCCTAGGGCAGGTGAGGGTGGAGGGCCAGCCACGCTGACTGGGCCACACTTCTTCTCATTGCCAGTCCCAGAAGCTCCATTTGTGTCCCTCCACAGCTCCCTGTCACCAGCAGCCAGGTAACTCTCAAAGGAGAGTGCCCGGAGGTGGGGGTGCTAGCTGGGTCTCCACACTCACTTCATACACTTTCTTCCATAGATTTCCAAAGCCCCTCAGCCTGGTTCTCCAGACCATTTAGCAGGGTGAGCCCCAGTAAAGGAATTATTCCATGTGACTCAGCTAGCCCACTGTCTCCCCTCTGTCTCCCCTCCACCACACCCCCAGACAACCAGAGGGCTCCTGGGGTGGGAGAGACAAGCATGCTGTCCCTGGCTCAGAATTTAAGGAGGTGCCCACTCTCAGGGCTGGGTACGCGCCTCCTTGAATTATGTGCTCTGGATGCCTCACCCACTCCTGGGTGGGGCATTGACAAAGGGTGGGAGAAGAGGTTAAGGCAAGGCAGAAGGGGGAGTGTTAAGGGAGGGGGTCTGCAGTGGAGGCAGTGAAGATAATGGATGCAGGGGCCAAGGCCAGCGCTTCAGAAGCAGCAGAGAATCAGGAGCAACTGGAAAAGCCAAACACTGCCCCTCTCAGTAGGTTCCTGAGGTTTTTGTCCTGGGGAGGGGTTTAGGGTGGGGGAGATATCCCCGAGTCACATCCCTCTGCTTCTTCTCCCTCTTTTGACTTGCCATCCTTGTCTGGATGCTATGAACCCCGCCCTAGGCATGGCGATTCAACTCCAGAAATGCCCGAGCTGTGCGAGGCTGTCCTGTGCTGTCCAGCCAGGTAGCCACTGGCCGTGCAGGGCTTCGGGCTCTTCAGTGAGCTTCGTACACTCAAGTGCTGTGAGTGTAAAGAGCACTCTCGACTTTGGGGGGCGGAGTTGGACACAAAGCAATGCAAACTAGTTCATCAATAACCTTAAAAGTATTGATGACAGGTGGGGATGATAATGTTTGGGGTCACTTGGCTTAACCAATATATAGTATTAAAGTTCATTCCCATTTCTTTGTACTTCTTTGAAGATGGTGGCTAGGGAATTTAACACACGTGCTTGCATTGGTGGCTTGAATTCTATATCCATCGGACAGGGCTGGTCTAGTTCAACCTCCCTTTGACCAACGTGAACCCTGAGGCCCCTGGACACCTGACTTGGAGATGGCGCACCCTGAAAAGTGCTGTCATTTCCAGCCCCGCCATCTCTCTCAGCTCCCCTCAACACAAGTGTGTGTCTCCTCCCCCAACACACACACAGGAGCAGGTGGACTTGGGGCAGTGGGCTTCATGGGAATGTTCCAAGTCTCAAGATATTGGCTGTAGTTTCTTTTTTTTTTAAAGATTTATTTATTTATTTATTTATTTATACAAGCACTGGGTACAGTCAGAAGCGTGGGAGGGCGAGAGAATTCACCAGAGGCAGAGTGGAGAGCAGAACAGGCAGACTACGAAGTACACTGCTGAGGGGAGCAGCGGGAGGCAGGAGAGGTCTGCGTGCCATGTGGGACCCTCCTCCAGTGGCCGGGGAGCAGCTGGGGATCGAACCAGCACTGCAGAGGCTGCGGGCAGCTTCGCAACCCAGCGCTCAACTGCTGCGCCACCGGGGAGGCCCGGCTGTAGTTTCTTGATTGCAATAAAAACCCAACAAAAGCTGAGGTATTGTCTCCGAAAAGTGACATCTTAAAAGCCCCTTAGACTGGGGAAACTTGGGATGTGAGGGGAGTGAGGAGAAAGCTGGGGGGTTCTAAGTCACCCTCTATGAATTCCTATGTATAGGAACACAGGTGAGCTTACCAGGGGGCACCTTAAGAGCAGAGAGCTCCCTTCCCCAGGCAGTGGGGTAGAGCCTTATCCCAGGCCTGACTCAAGGATTGTTTGACAAGTAAACAAAGACAAGTTTCAGTAGGATTGGCTTGATAGTGGAAGAGAAGCAGGCACTGGAGGGCGGGGGACCGGGCTGCAAAGGCAAAGTCTTTTATTTCATAACTTTATCAGGTGTCCCGTTCTCATCCCAACAGCAGTGTCAAGCTTACTGAAGGGAGGGTGCCCTCTCCCAGCCGTGGCCAGCACTAAGGTGCACCTGGCCGGCAGAGAGTCTGACTGGAGGGGTTGGGGAGCTACTGTGGATGGGAGGAAGTTTTTCTTGGTCCCTGCCTCACTTTGGCTGGGCGCCCTGAGTGGGTGGTGGTCTCCTTTTCCCAGCTCTGTCTCCCATCCTGGAAGGCAGTGAGGGTGACAGTGATAGAGAGAAAGGCTAAGCTAAGGGAAGAGTGGATAAAAGTTCACTTTTCCCACTGGAAAGGTGGAAAGGCAACTTGGGGGTCAGTCTTCTGTAGGTAGGTAGCGGTGTGTCTTGATCCTTTGCTCACACACACACACACACACACACACACACACACACACACACCCCCAACCTCGCCAACCTCCAGCCTCCCCAGCTTGCACACACACACACACCCACACCCACCCCAACCTCGCCAACCTCCAGCCTCCCCAGCTTGCCCAGAGCAGACGGGAGCCCCGCGGGGAGGGGGTGTGGCTTGCCCCCCTAAGTGACATCTGGGGGGGCTGATTCAGAGCAGGTTCCTCGCGGCCCCTTCTTAGCCGGTGCCCGAGGCCCCTCCGGAGCGCGCGTCTCGGAGGAGTCATGCTCGGGGCGGGCCAGGCCCGGGTCCCCCCCACCGCGCCCACCTCCCCACCGATGTCAAGGGTGACTGTGCTGCTGACGTCAGGCGGCTTTTGGCTCGTCCCCTGCCTCGGGGACTCTATTTTCATAACAGCGCGCAGGGCCCAGGAGCTGGAATGGGCGTGGCTCCCCGCTGACCCTCTCCCGCCCCCTGTCCCTCCGCTCACCTCCTCGCTCGCTCCCTCCCTCCCTCCGCGACGGCGCCTTTATAACAGCTCGGCGCCGCGAGGGCGCGATCGCCACCCGTGGGCTCCCCCAGCGCCGAGGGGCTCCAGGGCTGCCTCTTAGCGCGGGAAGCAGCCCAAGTTCACCCGCCAAGGCCGAGGCGCAAGGGTAAGTTGCAGCGCGCGCAGCTCAGGGCGCCCCGCCTCGGATTTAAATCCTGGGGGGGTGGGGGGGTGCGTCTTGGGGAGGGGTGGGATACTAGAGGAGGAAAATCCTGGTAAAGAAACTTAAGCTGGCGAGGACAAAAAAAAATGTCCCAGGAAAGGCGATCCTCCAGTTGAACACAACTCAGAAATACCCTCTGGGCTTTCCAGGCTAAGCTAGGCGCAGAGCAGAGAGAGAACCGCGGTAACAGTTTCTAATCTTACACGTTCTGTGGGAGCTCTGAGTAGATGGGATCTGGCAAGGCAGGAGGTAAGCAGTTCTTAGAGATCGGTCCTTTCAGGGGAAGAGGAAAGAGTGAGCAATTCTTAGGGACTGGGGTGAAGCGGGATGGGAACAAGAGGGGTGCAGCAGGAGAGAGATGGTGCCAACTGCAGCTTGACCATGTAAGAAGTTCGCCTTTATGCTGTCCTCCCACTGCCAGTGCGCCCTTCTGAATTTTAAGAAGTGGATTCTAGAATCTCTCACCTGAACCTCATTTCTTGGTGTGAGTTTGGCACCCCACAGCCTCAGCTCTTCAGCATCCCCTCTTTTGATGTCCCTTGGGTTGTTTTGCTCCACAGAGACAGAAGTTGAAGCCCACCTCTGGCAGCAACTAGGAACGACTCCAGAATGACCCCAAAGCTGACCAAGACGGTCTGATAGTTCAGGGCTGTTTATGGCCAAGAAATTTGAAGAACTCTCCATTCCTGACTTGTTTCCAGAGGGCTCTGTAAATGCCACACCTGTTGAAGGGTTGGTTGAATCACCCAGGCTGTGGGTTCTTGCCTGAAGGGGAATACTTGAGCCGCTTCAGATACAATGGGCTGGGGTCCGTGGGAGGGTGAGAAAGGAAGTCAGCCTTCCACCCTCAGAGTCTGTGCACTACCTGTTCCCAGGAGAAAGAAGGAGTGGGTGAGGGCAGGTGTCAGGAGAGTGTTACCTGAGTGAGAGGAAGATTCCTCCCAGGGTATGGAGTGAGCTCCAGGGGCAGAATGGAATGAGCAGAACTCAGAAGGAGCAGAACATTCCTGGGAAGTGACCTGAACCTCGAGTCAGAAAGCCTGATGACTCAAGCCCGCTCTTCAGGACCAGCCCTGTAACTGAGCAGAGGGCTCTGGGCCTAGAGCTTCTCCTCGAACCTGGGCCAAGCCTAGTTCCTCCCCAAGGGTGAGATTTCAGCCCCTCTGGATCTGGGCGTCCTCTCTGGGGTCTGCCTTTTTGTATTCCACTCCTTAGTGGGAATTGAAAACAGAGTGTGAAGAAGAACTTTGACTGTAAGATTTTTCCCTTCTCATTCTGAGAGTTTGTATTCACGCCCACTGCTATTTAAAAACCCATGGAGTGAGCTGAGGAAACAGGCAGGAAATGACATGGTGGCATGGCTAAAGTTGTAGAAACAATGCATTGAATGGTGGTTTTGCTTGAGGGGAACTCTGATTTTCCAAGTAGTTTGTTTCTACTCTTATTGCTGTTTTTGTCACCTTCTAGTCAGAATATATCACCTGTACATTTCTTATTTTAGGTGTTTTTTTTTGTAGTCTCAAATATTCTTGTTTTAGGAAAGGTTTCATGGCTACTTCAATAGAAGCAATAATATAGAGCAGAGGTCTCTAAACTGGGTCAAATGTGCCACAGTCTATTTTTTTTAAAGATGTATTTATTTATTTATACAAGCACTGGGTATACAAGCGCGGGAGGGTGAGAGAATTCACCAGAGCCAGAGCGAGGAACAGAACAGGCAGACCGAAGAAATACACTGCTGAGGGGAGCAGTGGGCGTGGCAGAGAGGTCTGCGTACCATGTGGGATCCTCGCTGGTGGCCGGGGATCGAACTGGCGCTGCAGAGGCTGTGGGCAGCTTCGCAGCCCAGCGCTCATCTGCTGCGCCACCAGGGGAGACCCCACAGTCTATTTTTATAAATAAAGTTTTACAGGAACGCAGCCATGCTCACTTGTCTGTCCATTATTTATGGCTGCTCTTGGCTACAAGGGTATGGCCTACCAAGTGTAAACTACTTTGTTTATAGAAAATGTTTGCTGATCACAAATTTATAGGATCTGAATTATTTGGCTAATAATAGACATTTAATGTGATATAGAATATTTTGATTAAAGTATCCATTAGGCATGAATAAGAACTTACCCTATTTTGGTCATTTTCTTGATTTTTATCTGCTGAGAGGACTGTTAAAGAAATATTAACATTTCCTGTAACGATAGCATTGATTTTAATTTCTTCTTATATTCATGGTAGTTTTAATTTTATGTATTTTGTACTATTTAGTGCATAAAGTTTATGATGGTTGTCTTCAGTGTTGAGTAGCCTAATTATTATGAAGTAAGCTTTTTGGCCCATTTTGCTTTGATGGAAACTTTGTATGATATCATACCTCAGCTCTTCTTTTTTTAAATAATTTAAAGGTATTTAACTTTTTATCAATACATACACAATATCAGCTATCTAAGCATTATTTATTATTTTCTTTTTGCATTTATTTTCACATCTTTCCTTCCTTTTTGCTTGCAGCCTTTCTGAATCCAGTTTTAGGTGAGGTTTTTTTTTATAGCTATAGTTTTTTTTTTTTTTTTCTCCCAGAACAAAACAGTTACATTTGTTGTAATGAAAGTTGCTGGCTAATTGTCTTTTTTTTTTTTTTTTTTAAATAGAGGCATGTTTCATTTATTTATTTATTTGTTTGTTCGTTCGCTTGTTTTGTTTATACATGCACTGGGCACAGTCAGAAGCGCGGGAGGGTGAGAGAATTCACCAGAGCCAGAGTGGGGAGCAGAGCAGGCAGAAGGACCGAGGTACACTGCTGAGGGGAGCAGCGGGCGGCAGGAGAGGTCTGCACGCCATGTGGGACCCTCCTCCGGTGGCCGGGGAGCAGCCGGGAATCGAACCGGCGCCGCAGAGGCTGCGGGCAGCTTCGCAACCCAGCGCTCAACCGCTGCGCCACCGGGGAGGCCCCTTTTTTTTTTTTTTTGCCAGCTGGTCTCTCTCCATCTTCTCTCACATCAGCTAGTATGTATATATTGTATTTTTAGGTTTGCTAGGCAGCTGAATGGATGGTAGTACTGATCAGGGCTTAGACGTACAGATTTGTAAGAAGAGATGATGAGTTTAGTTTGGGACTTGTTGGATTGAACATGGAGATTCCACCTTTATATACTGAAATAAAATACTTAAAGGAAGGAGTCTTTGAGATAGTGTATAAGTCGAGGACTTCATTTTATCCCACTTTCTGGAAATTTTATTTCTTAAAATTCTGGGCCTTATAGATTTGGAAATTTCACTTAAAATTTTAAGTTAAAAAATGTTTTCCAGTACTTTATTTTATATTCTGGTCAGTCATTTAGTTTACATGAATCTAAAGTCCATATGCTTTGCTTAGAAGAGAGGAAGATGGTAATACTCCCCGCAAACGACTTTATCCCAAAGTTAAAGAAATTGGGATGGGGCCTCCCTGGTGGCACAGCGGGTTGAGCGCAGCGCAGTGAAGCTGTCCACAGCCTCTGCAGTGTGGGTTCCATTCCGGCTGGCCAGGGAGCTGCCTACATGGTGCTGCAGACCTCTCCTGTCTCACCCGCTGCTCCCCTCAACAGTGCTTTCGGTCCGTCTGCCTGTTCTGTACCCTGCTCTGTCTCCGGTGAATCCTCTCACCCTCCTGCACATCTGGCCTGAACCCCAGTTCTTGTATGCATGAATAAATCTTTAAAAAAAAAATTGGGATGAACAATGCTGTTATACTTGTTTAGGTCCACCTGTGGTGATAGGATAATTTATTTTCTCTTTGTTACTACATAGAAACACAATTCTTTGAGATTATTCAGATGTTATTCATAAGTTGTTAATATGATGCATCACTTTCACGTCATCAGAATTGGGGTGGCTACCCAGTATAGGGAATTCTGGAGATTTCCCTGTAGATACTTTCAGTTTATAATTTATTTTTCATCAAGCGTTGAGGCATTCTGTGGTACTCCACCCTTGTCTTAGAATCCAGCTTAGATGAAAATACAGGCTTTAGCATCAGCACATAGTCAACTCCAAAAAGCCTTCCTCCCCATTACTCACACTTGCTAATAAATAACTTGCTTTGAGTAAATATTCAGCAGTCAGTCTTAGTTCAGAACATTTGCTCAGCAACTACTGGGCAGAGGACATAACAAGGGGAGACCAAAAAATCGGAGATTTGTTCTCTTTGCCAAAGAAGCTTGTTCTCCGATAGGCACTGATATCCATGTGTTTTTATATATATTGGGAAAAACTTGAGTGCCAAGAAGTATTTACTTGCAAAAACTATGAAGAGACCCACACACTTAAAATGAGACGGGATTAATCATTTAAAAAACCCATAGAGGTAAGTTTGGGGCCAAGTTTCAAAAAATATGGCAAATGGATGCAGAACAGGAGGAGAAGGGTCTTTTTGGCTGGTGAATAAGGCATAAACTAAGGCAAAGAACATGGCTTTGTGGGAGATGACCTCAGACGAGGCTCAATTCCCTTCCAGATCGAAAATACTCTGGGAGGATTTTCTTGCATTGCATAGAGGTGGAGAGTTTAGAGGGTGGGAGGAGAGGAGTAGGAGGATTAGTTGGAGAAAAGCCTGAATCTGTTGTAAGAGGGAAAATTGCGAATACGCTTTAAAAAAAAAGATTTATTTTTTATGCATACAGGAACTGGGGTACAGGCCAGAGGTGTGTGTGTGGGGGGGTGAGAGGACTCACCAAAGACAGAGCAGGGAGCAGAACAGGCAAACTGACTGGAATACTCTGCTGAGGGGAGCAGTGGGTGAGACAGGAGATGTCTGCCGCACCATGTGGGTAGCTCCCTGGTTGGCCCGGGATCAAATATGCTTTTTAGCTGCTAAATCCAAAGGTCCCTTCCCAGCTTTCTCTTATTGTAACATTTATCCCACTCACCTCTCTCTTTTTTTTTTTTTGAACTGCTTCTGACTTCTGGGA